TTTATATTTTTTATTTTATATTTCATATTTCCCATCACCTATCTCCTATCTCCAATCTCCCATCTCTCATCTCTGCCATATCGCGAAATGCTTCTTTAAAAGTTTAAGCTTCTCAGGCATTCTTTCGCAACCAAAACCACAGTCAGAACCAATGCAATCCGCTCAAAATGCCATTCCATTATCCACCTCAAATGCAGATGAGCCACATGCCTGCATATCTGCCACAGATATGCAGTTCATTATGCACAGGCTTGGCTGAAGTTATTTTAATGAGCTTCAATAAACAAGTGCGTTGAATTGTGCGAATCATGACAAAAATATCGCTGTATACATTTTGGCAAATTAGTTGAGCCCAGAAAAACCAAAAGCCAAACCGAAGGCCGAAAGCCAAATGTGTGAGTTACGCCCCAATGCACTTGTTGTGTCTCTGTGTGTGTTTGCAGGAGGAGTGGGCGTGGTTTAAAATTGTGTGTGTGTGTCTGTATGTGTATGTGTGTGTGCGTGTGCAAGTAAAGAGTTTTCACCGATGTCATTTTTAGCCGCATTTTCATGTCCGATGCGTGCATAAAATTCCACTAAATTATTTGAGCCGTAAAATAGGGCGTAATGGATGGGGTGTGGCACAACAGACAACGAACCGTTGACTATGTGAGTATGTTTGCCTGGTAATTACAGGGCACACACACTTATGCACACTCACTCACACATTCTTGCATAAATTACAAATACACACAGAGGGAGAGAGAGAGAGGGGGTGGGTGAGGGAGGGGGATAGCTGCCGCTTAAAAACAAGAAAATTGCGTTTTTGCATAATTTGGGACTCACCTCTTCATTATTCACCGTCCATGTGAGATTGGCCGCCGGCCGGGAGTGCCGCGATGTACAATTGCCACGCAATATGTCGCCGACCCGATATCGGGGCCGGATTCCGGTTATGAATGGCGCATTGTGCGGCGTCTCTGTAAATGCAATGCAAAGTGAGAGTTGACTGTAAGTTCGGTTGTATTTTGTATTTTTTCTTTTTTTTTCACGGAACTTGTCATGTGGCCCGACTTTGGCCGCCTACACACACACACACACGCACACGCACATGACCATCGACTGTCACGTTGCTCAAATCCAGGCATTGTCCATGCGCCCCAAAGGTCTTCATGTCTGGCTATTTTGAAGGCCTTCCATTTCAGTTGGCTATTTTTATTTTTTGCTGTGTATGTGTGTGTGTTTGACTATGTCTGCGTGTGTAATGACAGTCGGGGTCAAATCTCTGTGGTTTCGCAGTTTATAATTGAAATGCTTTTGAAAGCCTAAACGCACTGAGCCCTGCCAAGCCAACGTGATGGATCCACGAATTCTGTTCGATTGCGAACATGACACAAATAGTTCCGTTATAAATGATTTTTATAGTAGTTTTCGGAACAGCAACTCGCTAACAAACTAACTGCTGTTAGTTTTCTGTTCTTATTTTATTTCAATTATTTTTTTTTCTTTATGAGTTTTGCATAGAACTAGCTTAAAATCAGTAGAGAATTTTTATTTTATTTTATTTTATCTTAATAAGGTGAATAATTTTGTATAATATAT